AGAAAAAGCCGACGGACAGCTATTAGAGCAGACACCAGAGCAATGCCTTCTGATTCTTGTAACTCAGAGGAATGCTGATATTTGATTTTGCGGAGAGAGAGAGAGAAAGAGCAGGAGAGTGAGAAATTATGTCTGAAGAAGAGGAAAACAGATCAAGAGGGGGGAAAAAAATCAAATCACCTCTTGAAAATGTTCCAATAATCACTGAAGCTCTCCAGCAACTGAGTTGGCCAAAAATAGATTGAATTGAAAGTTCTCTTGGTATTTTATGATGGGAGTTGCTAGCAACAAGGGTCGTCTGGAGAACTTTCCTTCAGATTCTTTTGTGTTTGTTTAGGCAGTTTTGACAAACTCGCAATATTTCCGTCTCAGTTTCAAATGTCGCCTGAAATATTGGGTGTAATAAAAGGTGATGGGCTTGCTTCGCATCCTGATGAATTGGTGATGGGCTGAGAGCGAGGACTCCATGTGTTTCTGAAAGTTATGGCTTCTTTTCTCTAGCCGCCTGGGGCAAACAGATTTCCAGCTATGCTCATAAATGCAAAAAAGCTGTATTTTTTTATTTATGTATAAAAACAGATATGCAAACCAAACCAATCCAGCCTGGATGTGCTTTTACATTCAGTACCTTTGCACTGATGCCGTGTCTGGCGGTGGAAGCGCCATCCATCATCGTTTGTGTTGGAGCTCATGCATGTTTGGTCAGATGAACCGTTTCACACACTGTAGATCAAACTTGAGCTTGATACATACACAGACATACAGGTAATTTTACATGTCAATAACTCCAGCGGCCGCCGTATCAAGCCGAGAAGATGCTATAATCCATCATGTGCTACAGACAAACACCTTCATATGTCGATCACAGTGGCTCACAGACTACATACTGCTAATGATTGCAACACTCAGATGCAGTTCTCTGATTGGACGCTTTCTTCAGTAGTGAACGTAATTTTCTCTATCTGTAGCGTAGATGGGGTTTAAAGCGGCCATATCACAAGGAATCAAATTTTCTTTGATCTTCTGAGATAAAAGTGCTTGAAGTACTATGAAACGTACTGTAACTTGGAGAACTCAAATCTCCCCTGTTAAGAGAGAGAATTCATCTAGTTATTTTATTTTATTGCTGGCTGTGGATTACAATGTTATGAACATTAGTTTACTTTTAACAATATACTTGATAATTTCAGACTGATTGTATCTGTTTATGTAGCATATTTTAGTTTGAATTGTAACTCAGACCTCCCCAGTCAACAGTTATTTTATTTCATTATTTTCATTTTATTACTGGCTGTGGACTGTGGAGTTTACTTTTAATAATATCTATGATCTATTTAGTTTGATTTTAGTGTCTGTTGTGCATCTGTCACAATATAATTCAGCCTGTCATTAAAGCAGTTAAACACAATTCTTTATTAATACTTATGTTTCGGGAATCAAGTCCATGCTTGATCAGTCATCTATAAAAAAATCAAAAGGTGAGAAAAAACTTTTTTAATTTTCTTAACTTGTTTTTGTAGAAGATTTTTGACTTTTTGTTGTATAAACTGAAAACAACAAGTTGAGAAAACTCAAAAATCTCCTAAGGTTTTCCCAACTTTTGATTTTTTACAGTGTACAGAAACTAAAAATAGACCATTCAATTATAAGGACCAGAGAGAGGAGTAGAAATGGAAGTGAAAAGCTCAATTCTGGCGGTTTCTGGTGACCTCAAGACAAATGAATGAATGAATGAATGAATATATGAATAAATTAAAAATTAAAATATTATATTATTTACTTTGTTCTATTTTTTGTTATTATTGATTATTTGTATTATTACACATTATTGATATTAATTATAGTTTTTATTATTAATATTTTTTAATAATTACTATAATTATTTTTTGCATTATTATTATTATTATTTTCTATTCTATTTTTACTCTCTTATTGCTATATATATATGCATATATTTATATTTTATTGTACATTCATAATAATAATAATAATAATAATATAAAATCATATTTTTATTTAAGGGTCGAAATGATGTGAAATTGCTTACTGGATGTATGGTAATAACAAACTAATGATCAGTTAGATTCCTGAAAGAGATCGCTTGTGCATTGACACGAACACTCTTTATGATCAGTGGTAGTGGTTAGATTAGTTTTTGTCTTGCAGGTAATAACATGACCAGTTGTGACCGACTGCCTGTTGAAAGCTTGGCAATGGATAACCTAATTATATACATTTCTTTTATGAATATAAATTATATCACAATTATATCGCATTTCTTTGTGAGGGGGTTGGGGGTGTTGAGGCGTCCTGGCGCTGGATTAATCATCATCTAACATAAGCACTCTCTCAAGAGGTTGTACCCTGCTTATCTGTCTGAGTTTGTGGATCTGCAGCCCACCCTGATTCATCAAGCTTTTTTCCGCTGACACGACACCGCTAGGACATGATTCACCATCACAGGTCCATATCCAGCATATTGCACTGGCTTGATGAGAGCGTGTATATAGATTCCTGTTTATGCAGGTGCAGGATAATAGAGGAACATTGAACAATGGCTGCAGTGTGCAGCTTCAGCAGAACTTGGTCCCCATCAGTCTGCTAACAAGGGTGATGCCTCAGTCTACAATATTAGTAGGGAAACTAACAGCTCAGCACCATAAAAATCCATTTATTCTGTCAAAGCTGTGGGCTAGTTACAAATACAGTGCACTGCGGTGCTCATATGGGAGACGCAGGTTCAAATCTGGCGTGCGACATGTTCCGATTCTTTTTTCTATATTTTTTGCTTATTTTTTATCTTTCTGTTTCTGATTTTCATAAAATGGTTAATAATACAGTACATAGTAATCAGTTTATGGACTCGCTTCTGACATATGTATTGTAGAACACGGTCACTGCTATCAAAGGTTCTCTACTCATTAAAAGCAAAAAATAAAATGGCTTATATATGCACCTTTAAACTTAATCACATCGCTCATCCCACATCCCTCATCCCTACTCATCTCTCACCATTTCTGCTACAATTATGCTATCAAATCATGCACCATGCTATTACTTTTCTTAGCAATCAGACATTATTTTCACCTGCCAGAAGATAAATCGAGCAAAAGAAAAAAATCCATATCTTACACTGAAGAAGGAACCTGATTTGGGCTGCACAATTTGGGGAAAAATGATTTAATTTAATTTTCTGATAAACTCTGGGATTGCAATTAAAAATGCTGTTTTGCAAGGTGCAAAAATTATATATTGTGTTATACAATACTTTAATTGAAATATTAATTGAAATATTAAAAATAAGAAATATTGCTAATTGTAATATTTTTGTAATATTTCATTGAAAAAAAGAGGATTTACGAAAAATAAAATTATTTTACAGTACAACTGTAAATATTCAAATACTAATATTTCTCTATTTTTGTTAACAGCTGTTTATAAGGGCTTCTTATTACATAGAATGATGGGGAGATGTTTGGTGTATGTTGCATTCCCAAATGCAATTAAAGGGGCCGTTCACCCAAAATGAACATTCTTTTTTTTCTTCATATTTTTTTCACCCTCCAGTTGTTCTAAACCAATATGTACCTTACTTTATTCTGCTTAACACACACAAAAAAAAGTGGTCCCTATTGACTTCCATTGTATTTTTTCATGACATAATTTTCATTGTTGGTTGTACGCACCTTTAGCGACAGAGCAGAGAAGAGTCTGTGACGCATTTACATGTACTGTGAAATGAGCCGATTTGAGACACTGAAAACACCAGATCATAAGCCGCTTGTCTGTAAATAAACACAGTGCTGCACTTCACTCGGAAACATGCAGTGTGTACATTTATTTAAATAAATCGCAGCCTTATTTCGATTAATCATACAGCCCTAGACCTGGCACACATGTAAGGACCGGAATTACTGACTTGGGCCAGCAACCACCCATAAAACCTTAGCGACCACATCGAAACATGCTAAAAACCACTCAGAACATGTAAACAACACCCTGGCAACTAGGGATGTGCCGGTCTAGTCGACTAGTCGACTAAACGGTACAGCTCCTAGTAGTCGACACTGAAAACAATAGTCGATTACACGACAGAAAAAAAAAGAAAAACATGATTTTATCATTCAAATTACCATAATTTTAACATTGCATTTAAAACATTTTAAATAACAAGTTAAAATAAAACGACCAGAGGTTTTTTTTCTTACCATTTTTTGGGGGTTTCTTGCTTTTAGACTAGTCGGATACAAAACTTTCGATTAAACGACAGTCAAATTAGTCGTCGCGCACATCCCTACTGGCAACCAGCCACATCATTCTAGCACTGTAGCAGGGAATTTGGCACCATTCACATTTTCTTAAAGATTTGATTCTCATCCAGGTGGTTTTGAAAGCCCAGCTGACATTTCTCTAAACTCTTTGTCCTTCATTCAGGTCAGCTGGTGGCGGGTACATGTGAAATCGTGATTCTGGACAGGGACAGCAGTCAGCCAAGGAGGACCATCGCCCTGCAACAATGCCCATTTTACTTACTCAGACCATGCATTTGTTCAGTGAAATTATCAACGTGGTCTGGTGAAAGACGGGACCTGAGGCGATTAACAATAAAATTCCTGCACTTGAAAAAACGTGCTCGGCAAGAACTGAAGTCGCAGGCATGCAGAGATAACGAAAAGCAAGCCGATAGAGTTTCAGAAAGCGCCTGGACATCCAGGCACTTTCTGAAACTCTATCGGCTTGCTTTTTTAGTGATAATTTCACTGAACAAATAACGCATGGTCTGAGTAAGTAAAATGGAGACTAGTCGGATACAAAACTTTCGATTAAACGACAGTCAAATTAGTCGTCGCGCACATCCCTACTGGCAACCAGCCACATCATTCTAGCACTGTAGCAGGGAATTTGGCACCATTCACATTTTCTTAAAGATTTGATTCTCATCCAGGTGGTTTTGAAAGCCCAGCTGACATTTCTCTAAACTCTTTGTCCTTCATTCAGGTCAGCTGGTGGCGGGTACATGTGAAATCGTGATTCTGGACAGGGACAGCAGTCAGCCAAGGAGGACCATCGCCCGGCAGACGGCCAGGTGTGCCTGCAGGAAGGGCCAGATTGCCGGCTCTACCAGAGCCAGTCCAGCATGTGTGGATGGTAAGAATGAGGAGGGGCTGAGGTGGGACTCATCCAGGCTTTGGTGCCACTGCCTCTAAGCCCACCAGAGCATCCATAGCTGGGGCTTTCAGATTCCAGTCTGATCCGTGAGATTATGCTGCTCAGTGAGTGTGGCTGAAGTGTCACTCTCAGGATTTGGGTTGTTGCTGCAGGTTTCATCAGTGCCTGAGGTCACGTGTACGGACGCTGGGGAAATTTAGAGTTGGTGAGATTAGCTCCGAGCTGCCGTGTGTTTTTTAAATAGCAAACTTCTGTAAACACAAATGACAAGTGAATCTAGACTACAGGTTGTCATATGAACAAACTTGAGTTTCTGGAATCTTTAAATACGCAAAGCTACATTTCTAGTCCAACATGACTGAAAGAGTTGCAGTTCAGTAAGTGAATCAGATGTTCATTCAGTGAATCAGATGTTAATGAGTTATTTAGATCAAGGACTCATTAGACTGATTCAAACTAGCAAATCTTTTTGAGTGAGTCAATAAAAGAATTGGCTCCCTGGAGTAATTTGTTCATGAATCAGACTGTGTACATTTGTTTTTGTTATGTAAGCATCAATCTTCTGCAAAGTGAATCTCACCTACCGGGTTTCATATGAACAAAATGAAGCTTCTAAAATTTTTAAATACACAAAGCTTCATTTAGAGTCAAACATGACTGAAAGACTTGTGGTTTATTAAATGAGTCAGATGATCTAATGGATTCAGTGAGTTCATTAAGTGAAGGATTTGTCAGACTGATTCAAACCAGCAAGTTTTTTGAGCTATTCCTCATTAGAGTCATTTGTTTATGAATCGGATTATGTTAGTTGAATTGGATGTCTGTTTTTGTTAAATACCAAACTTCTGCAAACACAAATGAATCTTGCCTATAGGTTGTCATGTAAGTGAATCAGATGTTCATTCAGTGAATCAGATGTTAATAACCACTCTGACAGATTCATTAAATGAAGGATTTATCAGACTGATTCAAACTAATAAATCTTTTTAAATGATTCAAATGTACTGACTCATTAGAGCCAATTATTCATCTCTGATAGTTTGTTTTTGTTAAGTACTAAACTTATGCAAAACAAAAAACAAATGACAAGTGAATCTTGACTACAGGTTGTCATATGACCAAACTTTCTAAAATCTTAAAATACAGTAAGTGAATCAGATGTTAATAACTACCTGACAAAATCAGTGAGATAAATAAGTGAAGGGTTTGTCAGACTGATTCAAAGCAATAAGTCTTTCTGATCGATTTATTAAAAGAACTGGCTCTTTAGAGTCACTTGTTCATGAATAAACTATTTAAGTTTTTTCTGTATTTTTTTTTGTCATTTAAATCCCAAACTTTTGCAAACACAAATGACAACTTGTGTTTAAATGGTCTATTTAAAAGATTTGAGAAACTAAACTTAAACATGAACAGCTTAATTTTGAGACAAACATGACTGACATGACTTGCAGCTTAGTAAGTGTATCAGATGTTATTTCAGTGAATCAGATGTTTATAAGCACTTTGACAGATTTAGTGAGTTCATTAAGTGAAGGATTCGTCAGACAGACTCAACCAAAAAGTCTTTTTGAGCAATTCATTAAAAGAACTGGCTCGTTAGAGTCATTTGTTCATGTTAATTTCACTATACGTTTGTTTTTGAATACAGCTGTGAAGTGAACATAATGGAAATACGTAATACAGAGTCTTTTTATCTCATTACTTTCTTTTCAGCTTGCTTTTGTACTGTATCCGAGAAGAAAATTAGAGCTTTTTTTTTTAATTATTTTGCCATTTACAGCTTTTCCAAGTACATTTGTTTTGTTCCCTTTTACTTCAATTTAGTTTTAGTCTTGCATGGACTGGTTTTCAGCGTGACCTGCACTTATCTTCATGTGGTCGTATGTCTTCTTGCCTTCAGTTGTTGCTATGACACCCGAGTAATTTCAAGACATATTTCGTAAGGTAGGAGTTTCTTCGTGGCCAGATGAAAGTAGGTGTTCTTGAGTAATTGCTTTTGAAAGACACAGTCCTCCGTGTTTCTACGACCTTACATCACTTGTAGTGGGCTACACCACATGCCAGTCAGTAACCCTGGCTGAAGAAATGCCGTAAAAAAGCACAGAATCCACTAAACAATAAAGATTACAAACATAAAACGAGCAAAAACAGAACTATGCAAGCAGGAAAAAAAAATGTGCCTCAGTAATTCCTCATTGCTGTTATTGGAAAATCGTCTCATGGCTTACGAACCAAATTGACAATAAAAATCAGTCACTCTACGTTGGCATTTTCTAACAAGATAGCCGGATACAATTTCTCTATCGGTGCGTGCAGAGGTCTTGAGGCTTTGGCCTTTCAAAAATGCAGTTATTTCATAACAACCAATGGATTCTGCTCTTCAGATATAATTTTAAGGCTTAGAAAGAAAATCTAGTGTATCCAATTGACAATTTACCCCCTGCATGCGAAGACAATCTTTTCTTGAACTCCACAGCTCCCTCAATATTTCCTCAGTCTTGTTTGTCGTTTAACTATTTACCCTACTCGCTTTTCATTTTGTGTGATTTGCTACTCTGAGTGTCTGAAGCTATTAAAGAAATATTGATTTCTTCAGTTGTTTTGTTTCTTTGGATAAAAAGCTTCTGCTAAATATAGCCTGATCTCTTCAAATGAGACAACACTGCTGTTTTATCTTGTTCTTTGCCCTGTGGCTTTATCTGATAAAAGGCAGGTAATCAGACAGGTTTTGATACTGAGAAAGAATAGCCGCACGTCTGCCATTATGTATTAGTACTAAGACTGCCAGGCTTTAGTCTCACGACAGCAGGACTGAGGAAACATGCCCTGCTGATGGAAGGTGAGCAGACTTTTGTGTTTAGCACACTGAAGACCAGTAAAACAAGATGACACTGTAGATCACATGTGGCTCAATGACAAATAAGAGTGTCTGTGGTGAAAAGAGAAAAATCTAAAACTAAAAACATAGTGTAAAATATATAAAATTCCAAGTTCATGTTTCAAAATTTTATGTCATTTTTTAAGAGAAGTAATTAAACTTTAATCTAAAATGTCATGTGGTGCAACACCTCCAAAAATGTTAATAAAATATTCGTTTTTGGGGAGTTATGACATTTTACATATTGAAGTAACCAGTCATTGTTATAAAAAGGTCAAATTACTGTATATTAAGAGTTTATATATATATATATATATATATATATATTACACGTACAGTACAGAAATTAATATTTTTACTAATCAAAATTTCAAATAAATGCTGTTCTTTTAAGCAGAACCACTGTTTTCAACATTGATAATAATAATAATAAATGTTTCCTGAGCAGCAAATCAACATATTATAATTTATTATACTAATTATTATTAGAATTAGATTTCTGAAGGATCATGTGACACTGAAGTCTAGAGTAATAGCTGCTGAAAATTCAGCTTTGCCATCACAGTAATAAATTAGATTTTCAAATTTATTCAATAGAAAACAGTTATTTTAAATTGTAATAATATTTCACAATATTAACATTTTTACTGTAATTTTATCAAATAATGTATGTAATAATGTATTTTAATCAAATAAATGCAGCATTGGTCAGTGTAAGAGAATTCTTTCAAAAACATTTTTTAAACAAATTCTCACCAACCCCAAACTTTTGAACAGTAATATATAGTCGAAACCTGGAGGCGTAGCACTTAAGTATATCGTGGTGTTTAACATAAAATGAAACACTCACACACAGACTGAAAAACACATTCTTTGGCATGAAACCAGGCTGAAATGATGTATAATTCATGTTCATAGTATAATTAAATTTTCACTTGTACAAGTACAGTGACAGGTCAGTTCTAACTGCAAAACCGCCTGCATGTAAAATGAATAACAAGAAAAGCAGAGCCGAAAACACATTTGCTCTTTGGAATCTCTTAAGACGTCTTGGGCAATGACGTCGACATGGCAATTAGAATGAATTTATCATCAAACCAACAGGAAATTAAACCGTCATGAAGTTTTCATGTAGAACAGAATCAAAGTGGCCTGGAAAGATCTGGCATCAATATCGCATCAGACAGAAAAAGCTAAACGAGAGGCGGCTGCGGCATGTTGGGACACAGAGGGACTGCGGATTCTGCCTGGAAGTGGGAGGGAAGTGACAGCAACAGAACCCAATTCCCTCAGCTGGTGGTAGCGGGGAGGTGAGAGCCAACAGCTGGAATATGCCCTGAAAACTATGCAGAAAGTCAGAGGAAGGAGAGCATTTGAACAATTAGACAAGGTGATCGTCGGCCAGGTGTCAGGATAATCAAGTCCCGCTCACCGAGCACCTGCATTAATTCCATATCTTTGACTCTGCAATCGAATTCGGAATGTCAGCCCAAGGATTAGTAATGTTTCCCTAGTCACACAGCCTAGATGGATGTGATAGGTCAGGGCTGACCTCAGGCAGCCAATTCAAAAGCATCTGCCTCGTATCGCGGGTGTCTATGCACTAGCATTACAAATGGGATACCGGCTCCCCAAAACATCCGGGAGTGACTCGAGAAGTTCTGCGCCATCAATCAAGACACCAAAGTCAAGATGGAGCTCGCTTCATATGGGGATTATATCACGTCGGGGACACCAAAAGCTACAACTGCCATGTTCATGTTTTTTAGATTTAATACAAGTTGCAGTTGCTGGCATGGCTTTATATTTTTGTAAGGACAGATAAGGACACAAAATATATTGTTATTTGGCTCACCCACTAAATAAATAGAGAGACTTGACATAAGTGGTCCCACTAGAAACTAATTATATAATGCATCCTCTGTGTTTCCACAATGCTCTAAAAATTAGCATGCCCTGTGATGAAGTGTCTGCAGGTGTGCCCATGATAACACAGATTACACAGACTCTCCGCCTTGACTCCTCATATATTATTTTACACAAATACCCTCTCACAAAGATACCTTAATTTTGTTTTCTAGAATCAATTACGGTGGTG